TATTTCAGGTGTTACCAAGGGATTCCAGTACAAGATGCGTGCCGTACACGCTCATTTCCCCATCAACTGTGTCATTAGCGAAAACAACAGCCTGGTGGAAATCCGTAACTTCCTCGGAGAGAAGCACATCCGTCGAGTTAAGATGCAGGCGGGAGTGACCGTGGTTAACTCGGCTAAGCAAAAGGATGAACTGATCCTGGAGGGTAACGACATTGAAGCTGTTTCCCTGTCCGCCGCTCTCATCCAGCAGTCGACCACCGTCCGAAACAAGGATATCCGTAAGTTCTTGGACGGTCTGTACGTGTCCGAGAAGACAACTGTTGTGCAGGACGAGGATTAAAGAGACGCGTAAATAATGTTTTTCTTGTAATAAGGATAGGCGGAGCAAAGAGTGGAAGAAAATGAAGGTTCGAAAGATGAAAGTTTGTGTTCATTTATTAAGCAAAGAAATCAAATGTGTTATGTCAAGTGGGATAACTCTTCAGTGTTTGCAACAGTGGAGATTCTTCATTTGTACGATTGGTATTATTGCAGAAGTGTTGTGATTTGTTTTCCAACTTATACAGGGATCTGCGAGTGACGATTAATGTGGAACAGTTCAACAAAAAACGGCTAGTGAATAAAATCCACAATAAGGCCGCAGTAGTTCTTGGGTATATAACAGACTTCTGAGGGAAATCCTCAGGCCAAAACTTGTAGTTCAACTATTGACTTTTTCGGTTTCGTCTTAAGCAAACCGAAGAAATTAGTATTTTTGTTGTCTAAAATAATTCTACGCAACATCGTGTCCAACACAAAGTAAAGTACCTACCTGCACTATACTACTTTTGTAAAATCCTAATAAATGTGGGCGTCTTATTTATACTTTCGCTAGGTAAATCGAGCCGAACGATGCATAAGGTCGTAAGTTAACATAGACAGATTCTCTATGCATCCCCACGGCCATGTAGACATTTTCAGTACACAGTTCGGTGAAAGAAGCTACATATACCTACCTATTATTTATCAAGCATTTAATGCGGCACGACACGACAGGAAACGGTTTTGTAGCCAAGTTTTTAACGAAAGAGAAAGTCGAAGAGAATCGATCAATCACTTGATAACTTATGTATCGTTCGGCTTGAAATAACAACCTGCCTAACAATACAATCGGTATTCCTAACTAATTTTATATGATTTAATTTCCCCACTACTACTACTCATCAAGAAAGTAAGGGCATGCATTTCGATTCCGAAGAAAAAACGCAATTTTGCACTTAAAACTTTAAAAACATCTTAAAAATAGTGATTTTTGTACGTGTAAATATCAAAATACGATTCAGTATTTTTCATACAAAAATGAATGGTTTTGTTATGAAAATATCTTTCAAACGTAAACAATAATATGGATGCTAATGGTGTTAGGTGTTTGATAGAAAGCCAAAGAGTGAACTTCAATATTTTTCATTAACTACAATGGTATTACCGTATTACTCCATCACTATTGAGAAATGATGAATTTGATAAAGTTGTCATTGTTGTCTTCATCGCAAGGAATCGATGCTAATTGAAAGCTCCCGCTATTTATATTCTTCGAAGAGTGAGAGCACCCTCCAAAGGTGGGTGGATTCCGTAGCAACAAAATTAAGCAATGATATCGGCGAGGACACCGATAATGACCATGCATCAGAACCCTAGTCTTAACTGCTTCAATCTAGAGAACAACGAATAGAAGATTAGGAATCACATAGATTAACTAACTCATTTTTTCCTTGTCCCCGGTGGACAAAGCCGAGTCTTGTCGCTATCAACAAGGCATAAAAAGTAACAAGGACTAAGATGTGTTCCTTAGATTACTGAAAAATTCTGTTCCCTAGTTTGAAGTAGTATGTGACACTTTTCATTTGGATTATTGATTTGATTGAGATCAATGCGTTAGTATTGTGTTTACGTGAGGGGGTTGTGGGATTTAGTTTTGTTGTTATTGTATGACGCGGGGGGAGGGGGCGCTTAGAGGATAATACCAATACGGTTTATGGCTTCATATTATGAAAGAATTCAGTTACGCTAAGAAAATGTTCTTTTCAGTTATTTTCTTCTTCTTTGTAAGGATCATTATTCATATTGCCAATTTAAAGAATTTTGATTGATTTATTGATACTTGGGTCGGCGTTGGCCACATTTGGATTTTTAAATTGATTGATTGATTTGTCTTTATTTAGGAGGCTTTCAGCCTGAGGCTGGTTCGCCTCCAAATGTGGATTTTTAAATATAATCCTAAGTAGTTTCACATAGGTGATGCGGCCAAATTTGGATTATTGCATATATTATTCTGAAGGTTCACTCATATTTTCTTTGTATCTGGGAAAGTGGGGCAATGGTGTCCCGGGTTAAAAATTCAACTTATTGTACATATTTTACAAAAAATCTTACAAGCCTACTTGAACTATCCATTTAATTTTAGTCTATAGAATTACTTTTCTCTAGTGCGAATATTCAAAAAATGTTAGACTACCCTCAAATGACATGATCTTTTTCTAGTTTTCAATAAACATTAAAGTTTTTCTTGGCTAAATATTGCTTAGGTCCATTCGGGCAAGTACCACTGATATTTGAAACATTTACTTCCTAAATTCTTCAATTTATAAAAATGTATCATATGAAATCACATTTTGATGCAGCTGGTTTGGTAAAAAATCAGTCATTCACAAGACTGAAAACATATAGCCTATTTAGGCAGTACTTCTTAAATTTAATATTTATTCTACAAATCGTTTGATTTTTTTTTTTTAGAAATGTTTTTTTATGCTAAAATTGTGCATTAGCAGAAACAGAATATTCTTACCTGTTGTATTGCTGATTGCATCTGAAACTGGACCGCCCCAAAAATGCAAAAAGTGTGATAAAAGTGCACCTTTGCGTCAAATCGTGTTGGTGTCTTCGGTGTTGGTGTCTTCGGTGCTTGCATCATAAAAAATAAGTGCACCGAAGACACCAAGACGATTAGACGGAAGCTCGCACTTTAATCATACTTTTCAATAAGTGAAAACGCGCCTTTTTTTTTTAATTATAGTCACTTTAACACTCTTGGGTAATTCGTGACTTGTCCGGGGGTGAGATTTGAACTCGTGGCTTTGGCGTGAGAAGTATGGATGTTAACCACTACGGGCTTATTAGTCCAGTTTGGTGTGAAATGCGCAATATATTGCCGTTGGTATCATAAGTAATCTTATTGCTACATTTTCGAATAGGGTGAAAAGTTTCACTTAAGACGGACAAACCAACACATGGGTCGGGACCAACGGCTTTATTTCCTTTCCGAAGGAAGACGTGACCAGAGATTTTTAATTTGCCTAAGAAAAGTCTCAACGACCTCGGCTGGGATTGAACACTGCACAAATTTTATTGTTTTTATATTGTGTAAAACTTTGATAACATATAATGTACAGTAGACTGATGCAAAATTTGACTTTTTCGCTCCACAGTACTTAAATGGTTTCAAATCGGGTCCTGATTAGCCTCCCAAAGTTAGAACTCATTTGGTTAGGAACAGGCTTCGCACAAGCCATTTGAAGTTTACATAGTTAAATTACTATGGGAAATCTCAACTGTTTGTTCATTGCCTTCTAGTGTTTTTCCATATTGAGCTGCGAAACAGTTCGATGGCCATTCTTATAGAAAATTTTCTCAGCTAATACTTTGCTGAAGATCGTTTCAATGTAAAACGAGACAGGAAAAAGTTGTTAATTATTTAAGAGATTGGTAATCTTATGACATGATCAAGCAGCTGCTCTGTAGGCAACACTGTATTTTGCAGTGTGACATAGTATAGGCATGATTTTTGTGTCCTATTCAACGCCCCAGAAACACCAATGTTGCCTGCTGAGCAGTTGATTGAGCATGATCATAAGACATCAGCGCATTGAACCATTGATAACTTTCGATCCTTGCATTTAATCAAAAAGTAGTCTTCAGAAAAGTTGTAGCTGGAAAAATTTCCTACAAGTACAATTGAAAGCTTTTGAAGCAGACCGATAAGGTGAATTATTAGATAGACATGAACAAAAATCTTGGTTTTACCATAGTAATTCCCATACAAACTTCAAATGGTTTGTGCCATCTCAGTTTCTCACCAAATGGGTTCAAATTTTGAGAGGTTAGTCAGGATCCGATTTGGAATCGTTTAAGTATTGTGGAGGGAAAATTTCAAATTTTGCATCACTCTACTCTATAGAGTAAAGTATTTAAACTAAAAAGTAACGATTTTTATTGGTAAATACCGATAATTTTAGGTAATCGTAACGTATATATACGTTACTTTTTACCTTAAATAGGCAATTTTTTACTATTAATTAGGAAATTTTTAAGTATTTTTTTTTTGTAATCCATGATAACCGATAATTTAGGTACGTGCTCTTTCTTCGATTATTGGTTATTTATACCGATATCTAGGTATTCTTTATCGATTTTGAGGTATGTGCATCTTAGCTTGTAGAGGACTTTAGGTGAGGTGAGAAAGCAGTCACGCTTTCCATTTCCACTACACCACCGGCGCCGTCAATATACGTTGATCGTTGTTGCAATTTCTTTTTTGCTATGTGCGTAACAGGCATAACTGATCTGTGTTGTGTAGCATAACCAGCATAACTGATAGGTAAATATTATTGTCCCATGCATCGGAGTATATGGAACCCACCTTGATGTGCTCGACAGCACCTTGCAAGATATTCGTCAAAATTGTTTATATTTCAAGCAAATCCATCGAATCTCACTCATCTCACGTCTCATCGATGCTCACCATATCTTGCAGGATGATGCGCACAGTGCGCGCACATCAACGGGGTAGAATTTTCACGTTGGTGTAAACGAGAGGCAAATGTGCGGTCAACGCATTATGACAATTCCGCAGGCATTACCTGGTGAGTGCGAGTAGTCGGAAAGGTTTCCAATTTCGTCAACAGCGACCGCGCGGTAGCAGCGGCATCTTCCTCGCTCAGCTTCTCATAACTCATTCTCATCAAACAGTTCAGACAAGCCGGACGTGTTTTCACACACTCCCGGTGCTCGCCATAACAGTGCATAGAGCACATTTTTCAATCGGTGATAAAAAGTGTTAAAAACTGATTTTTCCACCCTCAAAACGAGTGAAATATCCGAAAAAACACCGACAAAAGTGACCCGCGGTACGTGGCAGTGTTTTTACGGTGAAATAACGGTGGGAGTTGTGTTTTCGCGGTGTTGAAAATGTTTGCTAAAATGACGCCGCTGTTTGGTGGACGATCCACCGGTAGATTCTCCATTACGGTTTCTTTTATTTTTTCTTTCTACCGCTGGCGCTCACTTTCTGTCCGTTTGGTTTGTTTGTGTGTGCGAGCGATGAGAGCCGGCTCTCTGTTTTTACCTGAGGGGTTTTTTTGAGAAATCGGGGAATTTGAATTTGTGTGTTGAATAATGTTCAGTTAATTTTTCGATTTCCAGAATAATGGCCGATCGTCAATCCCAGAGTCGCTCTCGAGCGCGTGGCTATACAGCTTCTGGTTCGCCCCATGAAGGACGGGATGGACGCGGAAGTCCAGCAGGAGTAAGTTAGTTTTCTTGACGGTAAAGTTTCAATAGTCTGACAAGATTTGTTTGTTTGTAGTCCCGCCCATCATGGGGATCGGGAGGAGAAGGTCGATCAGCGGGTCATCGTGATTCGTCGACTGGCAGTCGCGGTGGCGGTGGTGGTGGTGGTCCAAGTTCCGGGAATGGTAACGGAGGTGAAGGTGGTGCCGAACGTGGAGGAGAACGACGACGTAATCGTCGTGGGGTCGGAGATACACTCCGTACTCGCGCCTTGGATGCTCCATCGAAACATGGTACTACTGGGCAAGCCCTGCAGTTGCACAGTAACTATTTCAAGCTGCTAAAGCATATTGAGTGGACACTGTATCAGTATCGTTTGGACTTTTCCCCGCAATGCGCCAGCATGCGTCTCATGCAAGGATTGGTCAACGAGCATAAGAAAATCTTCGGTGGATTCTTATTCGACGGAACTCAGTTGTTTATGGTGAACAAGTTACGTAGCGATCAACTGACATTGCAATCCCGTCATGAACGTACGGGCGATGTCTATCAACTTCGTATTGTCCACACTGGATCCGTCGATATGACCAACGAAGCTGGTATTCAAGTGCTGAATTTGGTTCTTCGTCGTGCTATGGCTGGTTTGAATCTTCAGTTGGTGGGTCGCAATTTGTTCGACGCGGCTGCTAAAATCGCCATCCGTGAGTATCAGATTGAACTTTGGCCAGGTTACATTACCAGTATTCGCCAGCACGAACAGGACATTCTTGTGTGCTGTGAAATTGCACATAAAACCATGCGTATGCAGACATGTTACGATATCCTAAGAGATTGTCAAAAGCACGACCGGAACTATAAAGATTCGTTCAAGCGGGCCGTGCTCGGTGTTGTTGTTCTGACCGGTTACAACAATAAAACCTACACGATCCACGATGTTACCTTCGAGACTACTCCGGAGAGCACGTTCGATACCAAGGCTGGCAAGACGTCATTCGTTGATTATTACAAGCAAAAGTACAACATCCGCATCCGCGATCCACATCAGCCTATGTTGCTGTCCCGAGCAAAGAAACGTGATCTGCGAGCTGGAGGTAGCGAACTAATGGCCCTCGTTCCAGAACTTTGTCAGATGACAGGCTTGACCGATCAAATGCGGTCTGATTTCAGGTACTAATTGATTTTATTAAAATCATGATACATCTCAGCTTAAACGTGTGATTGCTTTTTGTTTTACAGGATGATGCGTGCTATGGCCGATCACACTCGTCTGAATCCCGACCGGCGTATTGAACGCTTGGAAACATTTAACCGTCGCTTACAGACATCACCAGAAAGTACGGAAGTCTTCAAGACCTGGCAGATGGAACTCGATCGGCGTCTAATTGAACTTCCCGGTCGGTTGTTGCCGCAGGAAATGATCTTTTTCTCAACCACCGCCAAGTACTTATACCTACTCACTTTCCAGGACGTAGGACTGGGAAGCAGTCTTAGATTAGCAATTTAACATTCTTTTACTTTTGTTTAACAGCGGAGTACAAGCCGGTGAGCAGGCAGATTGGACAGCTCATTTCCGCAACAATCCCATGTTTGCCACAGTTCGGTTAACCCGTTGGTATCTGATCGTACCGAATCGAGCATCGCGTGAAGCGAATGATTTCTTGGGCTGCATGATCCAAGCCGCGCGCGGTATGCGTTTCGAAATCAGCAACTGTGAAGTGGTTACTATTCCAGACGACAACCCTGGCACGTACGTACGGACACTGGACAACTTACTCAACAAAGATCCCCAGTTGGTGATGTGTGTGGTTACGAATAACAAGGCGGATCGATACACCGCCATCAAGAAAAAATGTTGCGTGGACCGTGCTATTCCGACACAGGTCATGGTTCAGAAGACGATTACGCCTAAGGGTGGCAACGTACGAACGCTCATGTCTGTGGCAACCAAGGTCGTCATTCAGATGAACTGCAAACTCGGCGGTGTCCCATGGAAGGTAAAGATCCCCCTCAATGGTCTCATGACCATTGGTTTCGATGTTTGTCACGATGGAAAAGATAAATCGAAATCATTCGGAGCTATGGTTGCCACCTTGGACCACGACAACAAAGGCACGCCGAAGTTCTTCTCCACTGTAAGCCAGCACACGCACGGTGAAGAAATTTCCAACTACCTCCCTATCAACACCGTCAAAGCGCTGAACGAATATCGCAAGGAATTTGGTGAATTGCCCAAGCGAATCATCTTCTATCGAGACGGTGTCGGCGAGGGTCAACTGCACTATGTGTACGAACACGAAGTCAAATCGATCGTGGAGAAACTAAACCAGATCTACAAATCTGCTGGAATCGATCAAGACGTTCTACTTACCTTCTTCATTGTCAACAAGCGTATCAATACACGTTTCTTCGATCACCGACAGAATCCAAGACCCGGAACTGTGGTAGATGATGTCGTCACCCTCCCAGAACGGTAGATACTCCCATTATCGCTCGTACTTAAACATCTGATTGTTTTTTTGTTTGTTTTCAGAACCGATTTCTACCTGGTATCGCAGTCGGTCCGTCAGGGTACGGTTTCGCCTACCGCGTACAATGTCATCTACGACACCTCCGGCCTGAAGATTGACCATCTGCAGATGTTGTCGTACAAGCAGTGCCACTTGTACTACAACTGGTCCGGAACCACGCGCGTTCCGGCGGTATGCCAGTATGCACACAAACTGTCCTTCCTGGTGGCTCAGTTCCTTCACCAGGCCCCGAGCAATTTGCTCGAAAAGAAGCTGTACTTCTTGTAAACAGCTAAACCACAACAAATGCATGCATGGCGATTGTTCGCGATTTAGATTAAGAATATAGCAGTTACTTTCTTTTAGTTAGGTATACACGTTCTTTCCAAGCAGAGAGATAAATACTTTTACTTTTTGACCCGTTCCCACAGCTGTGAATTTTTTAAACAGTTGTCAACGACCTGATCACGATTGAAAAAAAGAAAAACAATTGTAATTTGTATAACTTGCATCTTCTTAATCGATTTTAAAGAAATCCCCACAAAGTAATTTCTAATTTTCCGAAAATTGTGTAAACTGCTGAACGTATATATCACAGATAACTAATATAAACATTACATGTAGCATGCTTACTAAATGGATAATTTTAATCGTATGTGACTAAAAGTTTGAATAAACGTTTGATGACAATTCAATGAAAGAAACTTTGTATCAATCTTTTTTTTTTCATAGGAACAACGACAGAGCCGTAGATCGACCGGGGCAATACAAGAACGAATCTTGGATATCCGAACGGAAGGTTTCTGATCAAAATGGATTTCCCATACAAAACTTTTTTTTATTTTGCATGGGCAATCAATGAACAGATTCCCCCTTATTCTGCGAGTCACGTGACTCTCTGTCACCGGTGAGGTGACTCTCCATGTAAATCAAATGGAGAGTCACCTCACACGAGGTGACTATTGTCACCTCACCGGTGAGAGAGAGTCACGTGACTCGCAGAATAGGGGGGATTAACATTTTCAGGTTCGTTACCGTCGATATGGTTTGTTCTGCAGTATGTGCAGGGCTATTACAGCAACAAAGCTTATCAAAGAAAATTTATTGAGTGTTCAAACCAAATTATTAAAATCATTATGATCAGCATGTTTCTGATCGATATTGTGAATATGGTATAGGACAAAGGTTACCTAGAACAGAACTGATGGAATTTGAAATTAAATTTTCCCCGATTTTCATTTCTAGTTTCAAATAACTATCATTTAAATTCATCTAAATTACTTAATTTATAGAAATTGCCTCTTCGAAAATTCTAAGGACTACACTGCCTATTATAATAATCCCACATCAGTCCCATATGGAAAAAGTAGGCATTGAGAAAATGGCCGTCGAAGTTAGAAATGTAAATATTTTAAAAATCATAGTTAATTAAGTTATATAGTTTTTCAAGTTCTCAGTTGCATGTTATCAGCGAAACATATGGCAATTCGAAAAGCAGAACTTTAATTTGAACTATGGACGATTGAATTTCATGATGGGTCAGACTGACTTGATGTTGTTTTCACGTTTTTCATGAACAAACTCCTTAGTTTCATTACATAATATGAAAGTAGAGGCCAATTGATAGTGGATAGCGTTGTTATATTTAAATTAACGAACATCCATATGGGACTGATATGCGAGTATAGGATTAGGGTGGTTTAAAATTTCGAGTTCGTTCCACCAAGCTCATTCGAGTCACCAAGAGCATTCTCACAAAGTTTGAGCTTATTTGAATGCGAACTCATGCTGCACTGGTCCTTTGAAGTTTATATGAGAATTACTATGGGAAAAAGGAACTTTTTGTTCTCATCGTCGTAATGATTTAAAGACCATTTTAGTTTTTTTTTTTTTTCCTTGTCGGGTATTTTCATCACTGCGACCATTTTTCTGATCTATTGTGATATATTCCCCATTTTTTTTCTTTAGCTATATCAAGATGCCGTATCACTATTATTAGGAGTGATCGCCATCGTTTGACTAATAGCATTATCCCAGCACGGCATTATACTTCGAATAAAGTGCACTGCCGTACTGGGAGTTGTTCTCCAAATGTCAAAGGTTTCTATCAGCCCCTTGTCGAAGAACTTACGCCTTTTATTGAAAATTGCCGGACAGTGGCATAGCAAATGTTCCGAGTCTTCCTTTTCTATGCCACAGAAGCGACATACATCATCTTGAAGTTTTCCAATCAGCTTCAAGTGATAACGGCTCGGACAATGACCTGTTATAAGACCTGCATATATACTAAGATCTTTTTTAGAAAGTTCCAGGATTTTGTGGGTCACAGAAATGTTTGGATTAATAAATCGTTTCGACTGCTTAGCAATGGAGATTCCCACGCTTTAAGCTCCATTCTAAGAGATGCAGCCGATAAGCCACAAAAGGGCTCTGGACCGATGAACTTATGAGAAGATCCGAGTCTTGCTAGTGCATCAGCTCTTTCATTTCCCTCAATTCCGCAATGACCAGGAACCCAATATAAGTTGACTTGATTATGACAAGACAATTTTTGAAGTGATTGAACACACTCCTAGACAAGTTTTGATGTACATGTCGACGACTTTAAAGCATTTAGAGCAGCTTGACTGTCGGACATGACGCATATATTTGAACTCTTATAGTTTCTACGCAAACATATAACGGAACACTCTAAAATTGCTTGGATTTCAGCTTGGAACACAGTTGGCCATCTGCCCAATATTTCTATCCCTGGGCAAGTTACTCCTGCTCCCACTTGATTGTTCAATCTTGAACCATCTGTATAAAAAACAATCGATCCTGGACGAAAAACCGGGCCACCAAATTGCCATGAATTACGCCCAGGGTCAACTACTCGAAAAAGTCGATTGAAGTTGTATCTTTTCTCCATCCAGTCTTCGTTGTTCCTTACTAGAGAGTTGATACTAACAGTTTTTAGAATCGTAAGATGTCCTCTAAGGTCTCCTTCAAAGAGTTTCACTGACCTTGTAATCCTTAGAGCACACTTTTCGGCTTCTAATTGTACAAATTGATGCAATGGTAGCATATAAAGCAAAGCATCCAATGCCTTCGATGGTGTACTTCTCATTGCACCTGTTATTGAGAGAGTTGCTAACCTTTGGAGTTTTTCTAACTTTCTCTGAACAACACTCTCTTTTGTTTTTGGCCACCAGACCAATGCACCATAAGTAATCCTGGGTTTCACAATTGCCGAGTAAATCCAATGGATCACTTTCGGTTTCAGTCCCCACTGTTTACCGAATGTTCTTTTGCATAACCATAGAGCATTAGTAGCTTTGTTTATTGCCTGCTCTAGGTGCATATTCCAATTAAGTTTACTATCGAGGATTACTCCAAGATATTTGACAGCATTAGAAAGATCCAAAAGTGTGCCTTTCAATCTTATGTTGTCTAATGAAAATTTCTTCCTTCGGGACCATTTTAGTTAGACTTCAAGGTAATTACTAGATAGAGCTGGAATTAGGGCGTAACAGCTTTTGTAAACAATGACTTCTCTTTCTATAAATTAAACGCACGCCTACATAAAGCAAAATAACCATCGAGTAGGGGAAGTCTTCCCCTACTCGATGGTGATGTCGATTTTCCAATGAGAGCCATGGCTTTCAAGAAATCATTGTTTACAAAACCTGTTTCCCCCTAATTCCAGCTCTATCTATAGATTAGTTATACAGATATACCTTGATATAACGTATCGATAACGATCATTCAAACAAGCAAATTAATAACACCATCGGACAGATGAGATAATCCCACATCTATTGGTAATATTAATTTGTATGATTCAATTGTTATTAGCGAGACATTGACGATGGAAGTCAAAAGTGGCAGTTACGTTATATCGAGGTATAGCTGTAATTTGAACCGATAACTTTCTGATATGATTATTCAACTGCTTTCTGGGCAACACTGCATCTTGCATTTATGACATGGTAGCCTGGATTGTTTGCAAAATTACAAACAAATACAAAAAATTATTTTGTGTTGATGTAAAAGTAAATTGTAAATGTAAAAGCGATTTTTTATATAGAAATAAGGAATCATAAAGTGAGGATATTTGAATTTCCATTTTTTTACTATTTCTGCATTGAGACGTCACTATTGATGATTGATTGAAACGATAAACATTCCCCCTTATTCTGCGAGTCACGTGACTCTCTGTCACCGGTGAGGTGACAATTGTCACCTCGTGTGAGGTGACTCTCCATGTAAATCAAATGGAGAGTCACCTCACACGAGGTGACTATTGTCACCTCACCGGTGACAGAGAGTCACGTGACTCGCAGAATAAAGGGGATTATTTTCCTAAATCTAGATGGAGCTGGAATTACGGCGTAACAGTTTTTGTAAACAATGACTTCTCTCGATGATTTCTCGGAAGTCATGGCTCTCCCTGGCAAATCGACATCACCATCGAGTAGAGGAAGACTTCTCCTATCCAATGGATATGTTGGTTTGTGTAGGCGTGCCTTGAATTCCGAGAAATTTTGCAAAGCAAACTGTATATGGACATGATTTGTTTTGTATAATAATAGTGTATCATGTTCATTGTTTTAATGGAATAAACAATTAACAACGGTTTTTAAGGCATGCTAAATAATAGCAAGTTGTTTATAAATAAACAATAATAATTTTGTCTCTTCATTTTGGGCGAATGGCCTTTTTGCCTCATAAGAGTGGTACTCTTGCCCCGTAGCGTGTTTTAAGACATGAAATATAAAAAAAAATCATTAACATTTTTTGTTGGGGTTTAATTTTAATTTCAATGATGATAAATGAAGACAGTTTTATAAACTTACAATTCGATGTACAAACTCCAAGAAATATTCACAGAATCGCATATATCAGCGGACTATCGTTAGCAGGCATGGAAAATCATTTACATTCATTTGCCTCTAACTTTTTTCATCAACAGCATTCCACAAAATGTTGTTTAGAGCTTGAGTAGGTTTTGTTATTTGCTACAACTTTTGCCCATAACTCAAATCTGTATCTTTTATGAATTACGAATTAGAGCGGGCAGAACTTGTTACTGTTTTTCAGTGAATGTAAAATACATACACTGAAAAACAGTAGTGGCTTCTGTTCGCTCTGGTTCGTCATGCATAAGAGATACGGATTTGAGTTCTTAACAAAAGTTGTAGGTAATAGCAAAACCTACAAAAGTTCCATATATCATTTTGAGGAATTTTGGTGAAGAAAAAAGTTAGGGGCAAATAAATGTAAATGATTTTTTTCCATGCCTGATCGTTAGGGTGACCTTCTTGCCCTAGTTCCCCAATGCGCAGTTTCTAAAAATATAAGATTATTTATGTAAACTTTAAGAGTGCCCATCTTGGACCGGCTTGCGATCTTGCTCCCTTACGTACGCTGCTGTGGTTGTTGGAGCTGCACCTTTGGAGACACAGGAGGCCGAGATGATCCAGGACGAAATCATGGAAGCGAAAGATGCTGTTGCAATGTGAT